AGGAGACCCGTAGCTCCGAAGTGAACTCCTTTTTGGGGAACCGAGGTTCAACTCCTGTTTTCGGGGTAATTCTGTACTCTAGCGAAATACCTCTCAGCGTTATAACAGGTAATCAAGCTCGATGGTATAATTTTTGAAAGGAAATATTTCCATTTCCCAGACGATTAAGGAAATAAATATAAAGAGCGAAGTACTTGGGCCCAGTTTCGAGGAATATCGAGGCCTCCGTTTTTTCATCGAAGCGAGACTGCCGCCCACCACCGCCGAATAATTCACCGAAACTCTATGGACGCGTGCTCGCGAAACGCAGAAAATATTCAAGTATTTATGAAAGTATTTATAAGCCGGCCGGGAACGGGAAACCCGTGAAGCTGTCGCGTTTCTTTCACGCGAAAAGTTAAAACGTACACGGCGCGAAACGGCGAGCGTAAAAAGAGGATTCGGAAAGTTTCGCGACCGCGGGAAGCCTCCACGGAGAAACTCCGACGAATTCACCCCCCCTTGCCATATTTCTTCCACCCCCGTGACCTCATCCCCGCGCCCTTAAATCCTCCCACCCTTCGACCGGGGCCATTGTTTCGCTCCGGAGATAGAATAGCGAAAGAAACGAGAAAAGAATGGCAGAAATAGCACGGGAAATTCCTCGCTTAGTTTTTCACCGCAATGGATTAAAAAAAAAAAAAAAAGATTTTCCGATCGTGAAGTCGAAATGCCAATAGATGTATATATATAAAAAAAACTTCTCACGATCGATGTCTCGAATAAATACTCGTTCCCAACCGTGATTGTTATCAATATTTAAGGGAAGTACTGTTGATAATTTATCACGCAACCTTAAGAATAAATCAAACGAATAATTAAGGCTGAATCGTGCTATACTTTGCGAATGTAAAGTATCGGTTTGTCCGGAAAATCCATTTCGATTTTTGGTAGGTGGTACAGGTCCGAATGTATCGGAATGATCGAAAACAAATAACACGTATACATCCCTTAAAAGGTGGAAAAATTATGGAACGAAATGGTACTTAATGGTACGTAATTCAATAAATATACAGTAAAATTCAAATGTGCCTTTAAAATTTTTCTTAAAAATTGCCACGAACTTTCCGGACAACCCAATAACTAATCCAACTACCCTTTTCAGTTACTAAAAGGTATCCCTCGCGATGACAGAATCGTTGTATCCCAAGTGCCTCGCGTCATCTAGCAAATATCCAGGAGGAATTGTTAAAATTTAACCACCGCTTATCGTTGGTAAGTCCGTGGGTTAGGTCTGGGTCAGGGGTTGCGACAGAATGACCAACGCGTCCCCTTCCTCGGAACCAGTATTCGGGCTATCGTCCCCGGATGACGTCGTCCGTGTTTCTGCCGGTGAAAAAGGAGAAACGAGGTCCGCCAGTCGAGAGAGAATCGGATGACAGGAAACGCGGGCAGAGACAAAAAGGAGAATAGGGGTTGGCCGTAAGCGCGGCCAGCGGCGGATCGTTCGCTGATAATGCGCGATAAGCGTTGACACGGGGACGTTATGAGGACGGAAACGATAACGCCCGGCGCATTTCCAGAGAACGTCGACTCGCTTTTTCGTCTCCTCTTTGCTCTTTCCGTGATGCCTCGTGTCTGCCGTCGCGGGGCCTTGGAACCGGATACGGGGTAATTGAATGTGTCCGCGTTTGCACTCGGATTAATCCTTTGCGCGGGCGGGCTTGTTGGCTCCTGTCGTCGCGTCGGTTGGTTTCACTGGGAGTACACCGGCATTCAGAAGCACCGCGGCGACCGTGCAACTTCCAAACACTTGTAATTGGCCATCGGATGGCGTTCTTTGGGATGAAGCTGGTACAGGAGTGGCTTTCGGGTGCGTTTCGTACGGTGGCTGACAAAGCTGCACCGTGGGAAAGAGTGAGGCGTACCGTGCGTGTGTAGCTTTGTAATTAGAGGGAGGGGATGAAATGTAATCTTTCGGTCAAATTAAATCTTTGCTGCGATAGCTCTCGACGAACATTGCAGGAAGAGCAATGTTTAATTACCGAGTGACTTTGGAAACAAAAGTTTGTAGTACTGCGCGGAGACGAGAAATTGGCTAGTGGGTCTGATTGTAGCAGCGTAATCTCGTAGATTATTTTATATTCTTAAACTCTTATCACTCGCGATCGCATTTATGACTGTATGATTGCATTTTGCATTTATGTCTTTCGCAATCCAGAAAATATAAAATGAAGTTATGTAAAGATTTTGTGACGATTTATTGATTACATTGAACATATATATATATATATATATAGTTTTGGAATCTGTTTAAAAACATACAAAAATATGAAATTAAAAGTTGCACAAATAGTTGCAAGATCGTATTTATTATAGTTACCCCGTTCTTCATCAAAACTGCATTTCTTGCAATAACACAATTAAAAGAGAATATCATATACTTTACACGGTACATAGTATTTTACATTACAGTTTAAGAAATACCCGTGGTATAGAGTATAGTATACAGTACAGATTATAATACAGAACTCTATAGCGTAATCAAGAAGATTATTCTGTGATGAACCGAACCAACTGTAGTTGGCTAGCAAATTTCTCATTCCTGCACAGTACAGTAAAACTAAACGAGATCCCTCGACACCAACCGCCTGGCTACCAGAACGTTCCTTCCCAGCTCGATTTATACCCCCGTCCAGACCAAAATCCATGAATTAGCCAGCGACGGGACAGCCTGGAACGAATTGGCAGGTTACGGGGAGGGTTTCTGCGGCCGTTTCGCAGCGGAGAACTTAACGGGCCGCGTAGGACACGGCCAAGAACGCTGAAACTGCCGGCGATAAATTCACGGTCGAAGGCGCATGCGATACGCGGACGTAGGTAGAATGCAGAGTCGATTTCTGGGGATCCTCGAATACATTACGCTTCCGGGCCAGGGAATCCGGAAGTCGACCGTCGCCGCGGCCCGTTTGCAGCCCAAGCGCGCGCATATTTCACGGCTGATTCGTGACCAACGAGAACTCGGAGGCGATCGCGGGAATACCAAACGAGACCCTCGACTTCGGACCTCGCGACAGTTTGCAAATCGTCGCTAATGTTTGCTCCAGCCTCCCCGCGTTTGGCTGCGCGCTCGGAACCGCCTCGATTTGTCGTCGCGGGGAAAGGAAACATTGCTGGCTGCAAGGAAATACTTATTCTGCGCGAGCGAGTTTATGATTAGGTGCGCTCTAGCGTGAAAGATTATTCGACTGATCGGATCGGTTGGCTGCGGTGAGTTACTTCGTCGATCGAACGCCTCGGAATTTTTCCTTTGTCGGTTTATAAGGCCGATCGCACACGGCGCAACCGATCAGTTTCAAACCACTCCGAAACTAGTTGCATGCGACCGTGGATCTAGGTAAAACAGAGATAGTGTAAAACGAAGAGTGCAAACGGTTTGCTACGCTAATTTCAAATCGGTTGCGCCGCGTGCCTAACGATACTTCTCGTCTGGCCATATATCGACCTATACCACTTGTCGAGTCGCACAATTTAGAATGTACCATACTGCGTTTGTCTGACCACAGACGTTCCTCTTCCACTTGATCGAAGTTCGATATCTCGCGTCAAAGGATGTTCTCGGATTTACGTTTCTCTGCTATTATTTCGTATTATTCACTCAAAATATACATACTAAAAATATACATTCTTTTGTAGGCACGTTCGCTTAGATTTTATTTCGCATAAAGATCGGCGGTCTTGTCATGACTAACGGCTCGAGATACAAACGGTTACGATATAGGCAATTTTTATATTTCAATCCCCAACTCGAAACATCTGTTTTTTCCTCCCCCGTGAGAGGCTTCGTTCGTTCCTCCCTTGATCCGTTCAATTTCAGAATAATTCGCGTCTATTTTCCCGGACCGCGTAACCTGGATCGTCGAAAACTCGTCGACGCCGACGCACGCGGCGCGTCCGTTCGGCATTACGGTGGCCGAATGAAAATCGCTTTCAGGTAACGATCAACCCCTCCGCGTCGACGTCGGTATCGAAGAAATCCCAATTTCCCGTTGATTCGTCGGCACAAAAGCCGATCTTTGCACAAAAGCGTCTCGCCCGTGGTCCCGTGGATGTCATTGTTGCCAGCCAGAAGCCCCTCTAATGATTCTGGATTACTGTCAGTCGGTCGACGATACGGTTGTCTAACGACCAGCCTGTCCCGGGTCACTCGATCCCATCCGTCAACATCGTTTCCCGAAGCGTGTATCGTCCTGGGATACGCGTTTCCAGAGGCGTTGGGCGGTGTCGCGTTGCCGTGGAACCGAAGTTTCCGCCTCGTTAATTATTGCGGGGAAGCTTTCGTCTTATCGCGAGTCGGTGGCGATGGACGACAGACGAGGGTAATTAGCGTGGGTTCGATCAGCACGCTCGGGAGTCGCGTGTTGCTCCCTCCGCTGGGACGACGAAAACTCGATTCTCCGAAAATGAGCGTTTTCGCGAAGGGCGATGGGCCATTCTTTCGAGGAAAAAATTGGGTCGGAAGCGAGAGGTGAAAATGAGACGAGATTCGGGGCCGAATTAACGCGGAAAAACGGGGATTCTGGGGCAGGAAAAGTAATCTCTGCTTGGGTGTACTTTTTAGGAAGAGAATCTGGGAGTTTTCGCGATGTACTTGCGCTTTTAGATAAAATGTAAAAATTTATTCCGTAGGAAGAGAAGTTGAAGCCTGTTTAGTTACTAACCTAACTTACTAACCCAACGTGCAAACCTAATCGGACAAGAGCGCGAAATCTACTTGTTCTATTAAAGGTACCAAGCCTTTCGACGTATAAAACGAATGCATTTCATTGCGTCGTAATACGAATTCGGTCTCGCTTGCAAGGATTCTTTGAAGCCAATCCTTCTCGATTCCAATCCCCCTCTAACTTTCATCCCCTTTCAACGTCCCCGCGTCCCTCTCCACGACACCTTAAGAAGCAATTTATATTTCCTTCCTCTTGGAAAGGTCTCCGGCTCTGACCTTCCCTACTCGTTTGTTACAGAGGGCGTTCTATGTTCCTGCGCGTATTCCTGTTCGAAGTAGATCCTACGAGCGATCCGCGGACTTTCGAGGTTGTCTCTCGAGCGTATCGATAACGCGAGCAAGGACCGAGCACAGGGAGAGTGTCCTCGACTGGTGGAGAGCGCAAGTACTCGGCATGAAGGGTGAGTCCTTTCGAAGTTCGTTTGCATGTTGTTGAAACTGTCCACGAATCGATCACCAACGACGCTTCTGACCCTATTGGTCGACGATCCGCGACCATTCTCTTTTTCTAACGCGCTGTTCGCGACGACGGATACATATTTGCGTCGATGGTGGTCTATTGGATTTTTCCCGTGTACTGGTTGAACCATTTAATAATAATAATAATAATTATTCTCTTCTAAAAATTTTTCATAAAAAAAAAAAAAACGAATCATTTATTATTTCATCGAATAATACACACATCGATCTCGTATTTGTTTCGCTATTTTTACGTTTGGTTAAACGACTCGTCGGGAGTGTTTCGGCCTGAACACGCGTGAATTCGCGGCAACTGTTTCTACCGAAACGAGTGAACGCTTCCGCGAAGTCAACCTGAATCGAATGTATCTCATTGTCAGGTCAACGATCTCGAAGATGCTGATCTTTCATTAAAAACTTCATCGACCCTTTATCTCCTCCAACCGGGGATCGAGTTATCTTTTAATCGGTCGACCTAGATAGCGGAAAGCGGAAAGGGAAGAAACGAAAGTCTGCGTCCAATCTATCGTTCGATAGCGGCAGGGAAATCGAAGGTGAAACGATCTCTTAAGAGGAAACGCTGTGTCTCGTGCCAAAAAAAAACACCGACAGCGTACATGTTTCTTATTAAAAATACCGCTTAAAATGTATTTACACGTTCATATGAAATACTTGTATTATACACTTGGCGTCGTCGGAAGGAACTCCTCGATATTGAATAATTTTTCGGTTCAAGAGGCGCTGGGTTCCCCTCTGCACCCGTATGCATTAAGAATATGAAATATTTCTGCAACAATGATCGTCTACGACGTCGGAGCGTCTGATTCGCTTCCATTTCAATTCCCACCCCCAAACGACCCACTTTCTGCCAAGTTTCTCGTCTGCGCGACCCTCTGAAACAGTGGTGCGCAACCTTCCTCGTTCCCTGGCCAATTAAAACGACGCGATAACCAAAAATTCTATCGAATGTCAATCGAGTAAAAATCGGAGCAAAAGGTCTGTCCGATAAAAATATCGCAAGACTCGGAGACCGTTGCTCGACTTTGTTTCTTTCGTCAGAAAAGTATTTATCGGATTCGATGATAGCTCGATAGATGCTTTTTTTTTTTTTTTTTTTTTTTTATTTGCGACGAAATATAATTCACGAACCGGATCCTCCTATTTTTCGAGTAAGTTTTCAACGCGTTTTCGATTTAATTTCCAGACTAGACGAAAATGATTTGCGCACCGCTGCCACCGAAGAAACGGTCGCGATCGTCGCGAGCTTATCGCGAGCCTCGAGCAATGGGAACAGCCGCGCGAATATTCTCATTTCCCCAGACTCGCACACCGACTCACGCATCCACGCACGAACAGAGCCACGTAATGTATGCGGGGACGCGATATGCGGCCGCACGATCCGCATGAATTTTCAAATTCCGCCAACGTGGCATTCTGTTTCGCCTGGCATCGCGAACGCTGGCGAATTACACTAATAATCCGTATGCCATTGCGGAACCTCCATTAACCTCCGTTTCTGGTAGGATTCTACAGATTAATGGCGAGCGAGAAGAACGTACAGAATTCTATCGCGTTCCAAAAGCGATAGTTTTCAGAACGATCGAATTAGAATCGCGTTAAATGAAATTTCAATTTTCTTTTCATTGAACCGATCGATTTTTTGAATAAAAAGGCATCGAAAAGTTCTTTACCGTTTCGAAATCCGAAGCTCCGTTACCTAGATACGAGCAATTAATGTTAACTCCGCGTGTGCCCACATGCGCTGGCATTCGCTGCACATGCGCTCTCGCACATGGTGTAAACTTCAACCGCTCGTATCTCGATAACGAAGCCTCGAATTGCAAAACGGCAAGACGCTTTTTCTTTCGTATCTTCGCGAAGAATTCATCTCGAGAAAAGTCTGTTCGAGTAATATCGAATCCTCTCGTCGATCAAATCGATTTTCCTTTGTAATCTTCCTCTCCTAATTTTCGTTCATAGCTCGCCAATAAAATTTTCCCATGCTCAAGGTTGACTTTGAAAATCGAACGTCGACGGAACCGAGGAGCTGGCGTATCGCTTTGCGCCGCGTCTCGAATAGGTTCGAATCGAGTTTTTCACCTCGAAATAATTGGAAAAGAGGGTCGGTGAAAATGTGGAGCGAGCCGGTTGATGGTTGCGTGCGAGCAATCTGCGTGGTCGGTCGATCTGGGTCGGTGAAATCACTAGAAGCGTAATTCTCGGATACGCGTTCGACGCCCTTTCCCGCGCCATTTTCGCGACCCCCTTTTTTTTTTGTAATCGTTGTAACGCAACGACCAGTCGCGGTTTGCTTGTTTCGAGCTGTTTAGGTGCGGCTGGATGCCGGGCGGAAAATTATCGGGGCAAAACTGCTTCGCGAAATTTGTTAATCCCCGCGGTGTTCGCAAAGTTGATTAAACGGGAGTATTTACTTAGTGGAACATTTATTCATAGAAATAGTTGCAGTAGACCGAGTAGGAACGGAGAGTATCGAAAATATTCGTTTGCTAGTTTTTGTCAACCGTTAAAAATAAGATCACAGAAAATTGTTTCGTTATTACGCGTGCAATGTATGAGCGACATGGCGTCATTCGTTCTAAAAACAAGTCAAAGATTATTACTTGAACGTATGCAACGAAAAAGAAAAGAAATCGTGAGGTTCGTATGAGTTTGTACTAACAAGGGAAAACTCCAAGAAAAACAAAAATTTCGCATAGAAATCCCAGGGTGTAACTTAAGCTTCTCCTTGTAAGTGTAATTATTGAATAGAAGGAAACGTTCGAACTCGCATTACCTCCCTAGGAATTAATTTCGATAGAAGCCCGGTTCGGAACGATTCGACCGGCCAGTTCTTCGCGAGGATGGTAACTCTAACAATGGCGAAATTGCCGAGATCAGCGCATCAAATCCCAACGAGCTATTATGAGGGGGATGATGGCCACTAAAATCTCAGCCTCGTCAGTCACTTTTTATTGGAGCCAGTTTCGAAACTTTTTGATACCCCCGCGTAGTTAGTTCTCGTGCTCTTTTTTACCACTTTCATAGATTAACCCCTCGACTGACGAGCGCACCACATGGCGACGGTCGCGGAATCATAAGCTACCATGGAACAGAATTAGCCGACGACGACTCTGCGGTTAATGGCAGATTTTACGCCCTTACGACATATGTTAATCTGAAAACCACGCGCGAGAACATACGCGGGATATATGTCGCGAACGAACGTGGATTAGAAAAAGCGACGAGTGCTATGCATGTTTTATTTATATAAAAATTCCTATTTTTCTATCAGAGGATGGTACGATAACTAAGGTTTCCTACTTACTATCATTTCTCGGAAACTATCTTCGATTCGCATAGTTGCAAGTTTTATAACACGAAGCACAAACGGACCATCCATCCATTTCCCTGTATCATTTCAATTCTCACCTTTTTTTCATTTTCATTATCATTCTCAAACGTCTCTCCTTTGCCCCCAAACAATAATTGTCGTTAAGCATCGCCGAATTTTCCCAGACAAAAGTGCGGGGAAGATTGAAAAAAAAAGAAAGAAAAAAAAAAGAAAAGAAAGACCCGTCGTTTCTCCTTTCATTCGTGCGCCATTTCATCGGTACTCGCGATGATCAAAGAGATTCGTTCACGTTCCGAGCCACTCGTAGTTTCGTCGAACCGCAGAAAAAAATAGCGGAACAGGATATCGCGAGCGCGTATCAGTTCGCCAGAAACCGCTGGAAAAGCGACTTTTTTCCCCCGTCTCCGTTCGACGCTGGAAATTGCGCTGGCGGAGTTGTTTCTCGCGACCGAAAAAAGAAATTTCCGAACGTCCACGGGTAAATCGAACCGTTAACCGCGAAACTTCCGACACGCGAATCGAGAGTTCGCCGTCGACGCGATCCGATCCCTGGGATCTCGAGAAACGCGTTGTTACCTCAGAAATCGCAGTCGTTAAACCGAGAACGGTTGGTGGGGGTTCCTGTTATCAGAAAAACCAGGAGCGCCAAGTGGGTCAAGAATTGACCGAGAGGACGAAAAGGGAGGGGGAGGGATTGAAAAACGGGAACCGCGACTGGCGTCACTCGAAAACGATCGAGTTCGGCCAGCCTCGGCCGGAATCCGGAGCCGACGTTGCGGCTCTGCCCGAGCTATGACGCAATCCGAGTATACAGTGTACGGAGCACAATGGCCCGTATCTGGGTCGTGGTGTCAGTGCTACCCCTTGCTCTCGCCCGCCAGGGTGCTGCAACCCCAATTCCGCGACCCGGCGTGCCTGGAAAATCGCTGGCGATATCCAGCCGGACCAGAACTCTGCTCGTCGCCCTCCTGGCTGGCCTGCACCTTACCTTGCTGCCGTTTATCCTATTCAACGCTGAACCTATCGACATTTTATCGGTGCTTATTTCCGCCTCGATCGTTTAAACGGTGCCTCGAACACACCTTTTTTAATCGATATGATGATATTAGTAGGATGCAGGATTGGTCGCGTAAAACCGAGTGTAGATCCGAGGATCGTGGATTGAAATTTCCACGCCTTATTTAATCCTTCGTGGAATCCTACGATATTTCGTATAATACAATCTCAAAAGTCTCGATCGTGGATTGAAATTTCCACGCCTTATTTAATCCTTCGTGGAATCCTACGATATTTCGTATAATACAATCTCAAAAGTCTCGACACGAAATGGCGAAACGGTGCCTGAACAAACACCGTATCCGTGGGGTTTCAAAGGATGAGAACGTCGTCGGTTCTCCCGCGCCAGGATTCCGAAACAGGTACCCCAGAGGAGGCGGTTGTATCGCGCGCGATTAATCCACGTTAATTACACCCGAATTAAACGTATATCGCCGTCGAGGAATTATTACCAGGTTCGCTTAAACGGCGTCGAGTGTTTGCGCTCCGGTAAGAGACGATCCTGTAACTCCTCGCGAGGCTCTCCATTTACTG